TGATTTTTCTGTCTGTCTCAGTTTCATTATTTCTCTTTAGTAACTCTCCAAGTTTTTGTTCACCTCTGCTGTGGCCAGGTATTGAACTCAAAACTCTTTGGGTCAAGTCACTGGATTACTTCAACCAACGCTTTTATCCACTGGGCCATGTGAATGTCTCTAAAAATGAAGACAACTGTCTGAACAATGTAAATAGTATGAATAATTACAACACCTCATCTCAGAAATATAGACAGATATTAAAATTGTTCCATTGTATATCAAACAAAAAGACTTGTTAATTAAGGCACTTTCAAGCCATCTTTGAGTAATTTATATTCATGTTTTTTGTTTATTAAAATGGCATTTTCCAGGTCAAAATTGTGATAACCAAAGTTGTGGTGGTAAACATTTCTACTGAGTAGGTTGTTTAATTGTAAATCATTTTAGGTTCATATATTTTTTTCTTTAAATGCATGGAAAAACCTGAATGCCTTATTGACAAAATGCAAAAGGTCATTAAATTAGGGGAAAATAAGAAGTTTAGTCTAAAAGGTTAAACATACCCATGATGGCACCTTCTGGAATATTTCCCTCAGGAGAAGAATTATGTATAACAGGAGAGACAACAGTAGCAGCTTCAAGACAAACACTAAGTAACTTGCTGAAGATTTCCTGCCAGCATTTAAGGTTATTAGATTGTCTGAAAAATAAAGATTTACCAATTTTATGGAGGTGAAAAATTATGGTATAGAAATTTTTATATTCTAAACAAGAAAATAAATAAATAAATATATATATATATATATATATATATATATATATATATAATCTCCCCAAATGAGAGAAAGAACAGATGGAGTAAAATTACACTGTTCATAGCATTTACTTTTAAAAAATGCCCAATACAAAATATATTATTAGTATTACTATTTTTATTATAAGAGATTATAATAAAAACATGTTGACAAAAAAGCTTTCATGTTTCAATACTATGATTGTATTTTGTCAGGCAATGGAGTACAATCATAGTATTGAAACATAAAAGCTTTTGTGTATTATTTCAACATTTTTTTTTTTTTAATCTCTTTTTATATATATATATATATATATATATATATATATATATATATATATTAACAGTATTACTCGCTTGAAAAACCTCGGATGACTCAACTTGTAAACACCTGAGGGCAAATTGGTACCTCAAGAACTAAAATCATAACAAGGCGAAATAATTGTCCCGTGTCTTAAGTCCTTAGTCCAAAGAAAAAAATCCAAGTGAGTATAAAAACAAGGAAAACAGAGAGCTCAATGTGCTAAGTAGAGTAGTAAATTAAAATAAATCTTAATGAGCCAGGCAAACCTATTTAGGTTTCACCTAAACGGATATTCAGGGTAGAAATATATATATATATATATATATATATATATATATATATATATGTGGGCATGCAAAAATTTTGGGCCAACTACATAAAATGATTATTCATCTTTATTTTTCTTTTTTAAAGTTAATCTTGTTTAACACTGTTCTTTTTTTTTCAGTAGTGTCTGTGGACATTGAGGACCAGAATTCTAATGCCAGAGAATATGTAAGAAAACCAGTGAGAGAAAGAAACAATGCAAGATACCAACACAAAGATGGTAAACTTTGGTGGTGGGCACGTAATGGGTGGGGTTGCATCAAAAGCAATGTTAAAAGAAAATTGGTAAAAGTTGATGGAAACCTAAACAGTAGAAAATATATTAGTTTACTATGGTCTAATCTTCTGCCAGACTATGAAGAGGGAGACATTTTTCAACATGATGGCGCTCCTTGCCACACTTCACGTGCAACAAAATAGTTTCTTGTAGATGAAGATGATTAATGTTTGGAAGGTCCTGATCTCAATATAATTGAAGAGTTGTGGTGGGAACAGAAGAAACAAGTACTCCAATGAAAATCACACAATCTCCAAGAGCTCTGGGATTTCTGCCAATAAAAATGGTAAAAAATTCCCAACAAGAATTAAATGCCACACCAAATTGAGGCAATTATCTGAGCCAAGGACAGTAACAGTAATTAGTAACTCCATACTTTGACATATTGTACTTTCTGTAATATTAAATATCACTTTTTGCCAAAAAGATTTCCTTTTTAACTTAAGAGCTGAAAGTTGAAATTTTCGCTGGTGGCTCAGTATTTTTTGCATGGCTTTTTTCAGCACCCCTATTCACCATTAACAAAAATGCAGTAACTTGTTTCTGGAAAAAAAAATCATAAAATTTACTGAGAAAAGTACGGTACTAATCCCTCTCAATTTTGGGGTCAAATTAACGAAAGTAATTTATGAAGGTGGCCCAAAAGAAAGACTTTTTTTTGTAGACCAGTGTATTAAATTTTGCATTTTTTGACTTCTGTGGGAGAAAATATATACATTTTTATATACCAGAATCTTAAGAAATTTAATGGCAAAGGGGAAAAAGGGTTTTTTTTGTGACATGTTTTATCCTTTAGGACTTCATTGGATTAAGTGATGTTTACATTGATATAACAATGTGTGCACAAAGGAGAGGAAATGCTGAAATTTTAAACTTTTAAATTTAAATTCTTTTTAATATATAGTTTAGCCAATTTTATTTAGTTTTATTTTCCTTTTTGAATAAAAGAGTTATTTCATTGGATTTTATGTATGTTCTCTTCAGATGGACAATGAAAATATTTTAGAAAATTTGGTGGCGTACATTATACAGGGTGTTCCCACCAAAATTGACATCATTTAAAATTCAAATATCTGATTAACTACAGGTCCCAGGCAAACAAAATTAAATAGGTTTGATGTTGAACAATAAAAGATTTATTTCTAAAAATTCAGACAAGATATTCAAAGGAATGTAGATTTTAAAACCGATTTTACAAAGTTTCTCAAATGTTCTATATATGCACCACTTTTGACACAGGTCAAATCAGTAGTCCAGCTCCTGCCAAACACGTTGTAGGATGTCTTGTGTAACATTCTCCAGGACCTCAGTGATTCTCTGCTTAAGTTCCTCTAGGCTTGTAGGAAGAGGTGGGTATATAGACCTGTCCTTTCACATAGCCCCAGAGAAAGAAATCACAATTTGTTAAGTCAGGTGAACATGGTGGCCATTTCAACAGCACATTGTCATTATCATTAACATGCCCAATCCATCTTCCTGATAGATTTTTATTACGATAAGTCTGCACTGAGGTTCTGCTCACTGCCTTCCTTGGAGGACATTTTTAATTATCACTGTTGCAGTTGAGCAGAAAACATACTGAAAAATAGCATGTGTGCTAATATTGTGCTAACCCCACTTTACTTTGGGACTGACACAAATAAGAAGAATACTTTTCAACATGTAATAAAGATATTTATTTGCATCTAAACATGAATACAATGGTTAACATAAACACAATGTCCTTTACTATATACAGAGAATATGTCAGAAGGACTTATTTATCTGGTTAGTGAAATAGGGCTAGATAGTTTGTATCTTTAAAACCCTTGACAACAGGTACCGTGGTGGCAGAGAGAATTTCTTGTGTTGCTTCGGAGCAGGTCAGGTCCCTTCTCTGGTGGTGGTCAGCTTTTTCTGAACCCATGTGGTTTTATTAACCAATGAGAGTCCGTGTAACATTATGTGATTAATCTCTCTATATAGGAGCAGACAAATTTTACAAACACAACACTGGGTACCACATTTTTTGAACTGTTACCCTCAATGTTTTACTTCTATTAGTTGTAGGGTAAAACACTTGGAGGGACAGCTTTTACCCTTGGGCCCTGTGTAAAATGAACACAACTGCAAGCTAACAGTTTTCAATCTATTTTAAACATATTACTTTCTTCATTTGATGTTGTACATATTCTTGTGTGCATGTGTGTTGGTGCCCTTAGAGACTGCAATCCAATTTTATTTTACATTGCATAATGGCAAGAGGAATAACGAAATAGATAATATAATTCGTCTTCATGAAAATTCAGACAGAAATTGAAGGAAAGATTATCATTGCTTACCTGAAGTTGAGATTAGCGATGATATATCGTATACAATGTATTGTGGGATACATTGGCCTTGTGGCTGCTGCATGAACCAGTGAAGTTTTGGCAACTTCTAATTGGTCAATAAGAAGCAGGATGAGTTGTTGCACAAGCAGAAGGTCATTGATTTTGACCTCTTGTTTTTGGGACCCTGGCATAGGGAGTGGGATCTGAAGAAAAGAGGCTGAAGAATTTGATAACAAAGTCAGCTTGTAGTTCTTAATTACATGCCCGATTTTTTCTTGTTGCAGTAACAGACGAAGAAGGTAAGCAGCTGTGGAACAATCTTGTGGTCGAGTACTTTCAGACAGCACCATAGCAGCAGAAAGGAGTTTCTTAAGGAATTCTGGATCCTGTTTTAAAGTAAAGTAAGCAAAAGTGACAGACTAACACGCAAATTACAAATGGGGTATACCAAAATCAAATAAGTACAACAATTTAAATATCTGGGAAGTGTTTTAACAGAGGATGGTAAGTGCAACACTGAAATCTGAAGGTGCATTCAGGTAGCAAAAGATGCCTTCCAAAAGCAAAGCAAAGTATTAAGAAACACAAAAATTTCTTTAGAAACAAAGCAAAGAGTACTGAGCTATTACATAATATTAGTCCTCCTATATGGCAGTGAAACTTAAACTAATAGAAATTTAGTCCTACAGAAGGATACTGAGAATACCATAACCTGAATATGTTGAGTGGCAACAAAGTTTTAGAGAGAAAATGGAAACAAAAATCAAATTTTTGCAGGTTATTTAAAGCCAGATATTTTTAGATTGTAAAAATTTTTTAGTGGATATTAATAATGATTAACTGATACAAGTTCTATTAATTAACCCATAGCTGGAGGATTCATACTTTTGTGTGAAATAAAGGGTATTTGTGTGTAAGTGAATATAACGAACCCAACTGGAATTGGAATTTGACTTTCCGTTTTTAATTCTGAGCTATTATCCATTATACCACTTGCACATCCAAGCTTGCAGCACCTTGTATTTCCAAGTAGTCACCCATCTAGGTACTGATAAGTTCGACATTGCTTAACTATGGTGATCTTAAAAGAACCGGTGTTTCAATGTGATATGGCCATAAACCTTAGAACAGTAAAAGCATTTAAATTTCAACAGGGTGTTCTTTATTTTTATTTTGTAAATTGGCTAAGGCGGTTTCATTGATTTGTTTTTTACGATTTATCACCCTTTTGTCTAAGTGGGGAAGGGTTATATAATGGTTATTGAAAAATGTTTTGCTAAGTATCATTAAAAGAACACTGGTAAGGCACCAGGAAAGTTCTTAGCCACAACTCCAAATCAGTATACTGCTGTTTAGGTATTGAATTACTTATTTGGGGAACTGGATTAGGTCAAGAAATTTTCATCACCCCCACCTTTCAAATATTTAGCTCTTTTCATCTTGATTGAAAATCATAGTATTGATGAGGATTAGAGATTGACAAGAGAATCCTAATTTATTTACAATCCGGCAAATATCAAATGAGTTACCTGAAGAATTTCAGCAGCTTTTCTTACTTGGGGGCTGGTCAGGATCTTTAAGGCAGCTATTTTGTTCTCTTCAAAAGTATCTGTGAGACATTCAAGCAGCGTGTGACATTCACTTCTCGTGAGTGCTTCAATAGGAAACAAGTCATCTTCAGTGGACTCTGTTGAAAAAAGATACAAATTTACAAACATCAAGACAAAATCATTTCAATCCAACTTTACACATGAAACATACAAATGTTGATTCTATGGACACCTGCATACAAAGGGAAGAGGTTGTTTTATGTTGATCTCAAATGATTCTGTTTGATGGACCAGCAGATGATTCCTTATGAAGTTCAGTCTTATAAAACAGCATCCACTTTGAATGGAAATGGGAAGTAAAGGAGTGGATTAGGGGTTTTTGGAGATCAAGTGACAACAAAACTGTAAATAGGGTATATCCGAGTGCTGGTCTATGATGATAATAGTCCTGCATGGTATTGGGGTGGGTTCTGGTCTGCCCTTGACAAGAGATGGTTATGTTTGTTGTGTGGATCCTGTGTCATCCATTTATATTGCCAGTCACCACGTAAATGGGCAAGGTGTTGGTAGGAGGAAGAGCTGATCAGTTAGATCAAGGATGGCCAACCTGTGGCGCATTGGATGCTTACAAATGGCGCATTGCATCCTTTTGATGAAAAGAAACTAAGCCACTTCTACTCATTCATTTCAGTGATTTTATATTTATTGCACGTCCTTTGCGAAAGTGCTAAAAGGATACGCCCCTGGTCATAAGCATATATTTTTCAGATAAATAGATTTTATTATAACCTTAAAATATGCCCATATTACAACACGTACTGAAAGGAAGTGAATGTTTGTGTGGCACATTTAAATTAATCATACAAAATATTGGCGCATGGAATCAAAAGGTTGGCCACCCCTGAGTTAGACCAACATAGCAGAAATTGTTGCAAGTATCAACTACCTAACCACCCAGACGAGCAGATAAAGCCCTGAATAAAACATCTAATTTATAATATGGGAAACAGGGTTCACATTATTTCTTGATGTGGCATTTGTCTTTCATCGTGTTACCTTGTGATGCACGCAGCGTGCCCTTTCCCAGCTTTTGGTGCACACTGACAAGCCCAAGAGTCAAAATGCAATGTTGGGTAATCATTGGCTAGTTGTTGTGTTGTAGGTTTACACAAAAAGCTTCAAATAAAAGATATTTGATGCATTACTTTTGGAGTATCTCTTATTACCTTAATCATGATCTCTTTCAAAAATAAGTTACAATCTGGTGTTAAATGGGGCAAAGAATGACTTGTTAACTTTAATGCCTACAAAATTAGACTGCTCTCTTTTAATTGTCTGAGAGAACCCCTTTTTAGTTTCCATCAGTATGGTTGATGCTAACCACCACGAGAGAGACACATTTCCATCCTTCTTGGACTAATGTTTTCTGCTGACATGAAGTGGAAAGAGTATATTAAATCAGTTGCTAAGTCTGCAGCTAAGAAAATCTGTTCACTCTGTTAAAGCTAGACAATTTTTCTCACCAGAATCTATTTTACATATTTATAAGACTACAATCTGTCTTTCCTTTGAATACTGCTGCTACACCTGGTCTGGTGCTCCTGTTATATATTTAGATATTCTTGATAAAGAATAAGCAATGGTATTTGTCCTGACCTGGCATCTCAACTTTAGTCACTTTCCACACCACTATAATATAGCTTCCCTGTGTCTTTTTCTATAAATATTTTCATGCTAATTGTTCTGATGAACTTTACTCTATGTTACCTAGACTTTATGAATTTATGCACAGTACTAGATTTGTAGCAAGGTCTCTTCATTTTAAAATTTAAATAGCTTAGATGTAACTGTAAGTTCTATGTTAATAGTTTCATCTGTCATACTTGTCACTTGTGGAACTCTTCTGGCTTCTTGCTTTCCTGTCAATTTTGATCTTCAAAAAAGTAAATGCTTTATTGCCTTGCTTGGGGTGAAATGATTAAAAAAAAAAAAAAAAAAAAAAAAAAAAGAAAAGAAAAAAAGAATGTTATTTTTCACTGTATAATGATCAATATTCATCAATGAATTAAGTGCATTGACGAGGGAGGCGATTAGGTTGGAAAATATTTGTTGTGTAAAATAAATTTTTTTTTTTTTTTTTTAGTTTTCAGAAAAGCAGCAAGAATATGAGATTGATCTGTAAATATATACTGATCTCACAAGCCATTAATTAGGATCTCAAACCAAAATGAAAAATTTGCTCAATACATGGGTTTCTATTTTTTTATGGCTATACTGGTTAAATAGAGATAGAAAATTAAAGAAAGAGAAAAATAAAGTAAAATTACTTTATCAAAGAAACTCTATGGTTATAATTTTTAACAATAAGAATATTTCTTACCCTGGGTAGGATCCACCCTGAATACTTCAATCATGGAAGATATTAGGGCTAGAGCTGTAGTTCGGCGAGCAAAGGGACTACCAGAAAAGATTCCTTTCAGAAGTACCTTCATCAAGTCATATAAAAATACCTTGAACAGAAAAAGAAAAATATTTATAAGGAGCAAGAAAGGAATCAGGTGGATGGGTAATAAAATAGGTGTGACCCAGTTTAACGTATTAATACCCACTGTCCTGAAAACGGTAGGGTGGGTATTAATAGTCAGTAGATAGAAACCTAAAATCATGGATTTTATTTTAATTTAATTAATTTTATTTTAATTAATACCAGATTTTTTGGTGAACATCAATGAGTTTAAGAGAAAAAAAAATTTTTTTTGTTTTTATTTAAGTTCAATAGGTGTAGATAAGTTTGCCTATTGTCCAGTTCACACTCCTCCCCAGTCTTTTGAACAGGAGTAGAGGTTTATCCCCTTGTTTCCTGTTTAGGATTGTGATTCCAGTTTCTTCTAAAGTCTACTTCAACTCTATACTTCTAACATTGTGGCCTAAACTCTAAAACTTTATTTTTTCTTTTTCTTTAATAGGAGTAGATAGGTTTGCCTATTGTCTGGTTTGCACTCCTTGTCAGTCCTTTGATCAGGAGTAGGGGTTTATCCTGTGTCTTTAGGATTGGATTTTTAGTTCCTTCTAAAGTATTCTTATTTTCTGTCACTCCCGATAGCCTCTTATGTCATAATGGCATTATCACATTGCTTGGGGTGAATTGGTTGATTAAAAAAAGAAATGTCTACAAATGAAACTTATTGAAAAATTATACAGTTATTAATCTTAAAGTATTTGAAATCATTCAACATTTTTAACTGAATTCTATGAGGCAACTGGTTCTGTACACACATTGTTTTTTTTTTTCCATTATTGAGTAGATATTATTATTATTATTATTATTGTTATATACATACATATATTGGTTGATATATGGGGTGCATGACCGAAGTAGGGTGAGATTTTCAAGTAGGGGTGAATTTCAGGGTTTCAAGTGGGTAAAGGGAAAAATCTTTTTCTCGCATTTTATTTACAGAATTTTGTTTATTGAATTACAACACCCTAGTAATCTATTGAACTTTTTGTTTATTAAAGTATGCTTAAGTTTATTTATTTAATAATTAGTTATGAATTAAAAAAAATTACTGTATATGGATTCAAGTTTAAAATCAATCAACATTTTCTATAGCTATTAAATTTGTAAAACTCCACAAAAAATAATCATGTAAATATATATGTATAAGAATGAAAATTTTGAATAATATTTATTCATATTAATTGGAATGCACCTTTTGAGTTGGACAATATCGGAAAGGGGTATGGACGACATTTTGACTTATAGTGAAAAGGGTGCATTGGGTAAAAAAAGGTTGAGAATGACCGTGGTAGGGTAGGGCCCATCAGTTTAGAATACTGATTTGAACATTTTTTTTCATTTAAATAAAGAAAGTGTGTTTTTCATCACATGAGCATAGAAATGGTTGGAGCTGAGAGACACAGTCAGTTGCAGTTTGTAAAAGCGAGCAAATCTATTTCAACAAATTGACCTGCAGAGGTCAATAACAAAATCTGACTTCAAAACTTTATAATAGGCAATTTAAGCAAGAAAAATGTTACGAGTTGGTTTATGGCTTCAACTGAAGTTTTATCATTGTTTTTTCTTTAAAGGTATTGCTGCGAATAAACTTCCCACAGATGCATTTTTATTAGTGCCCAGATGGGAAAAGATTTAAAGCAGCAATATAAACTAAAATATTGAATCTTTCAAGTTTTATATATTTTAGATTTACAATATGTAAACAAAAAAAAATTCTTGTAAGAATTAACATGCAATATAAACAAAGGTTTATATACTTGTAAGTGTTCTGGGATTGCAAAGGAAATATTTGTCGCAGATTACTTCCACAACGCAGAGAATAAATCGCTGTAAGTTCGGATTCGGGGACAGAAAGAAATGCCGAAAACTTGATTTGCAGGTACTCTCTCACAAATCACAATGCACGTAACCAGTCAGAAAAATAACTCACTCTCCGACGGACGCGGTAGCCAAAATACCTGAATTTTTCTTCCACGATTCGAGAACACCTACTGTTTTTATTGCCCGAGCAATTTTTTCCATTCGTCGACAATTGGGAGAGGATGGT